GTGTGTGTGTGTGTGTGTGCACATGCACACAGCTCACTGCTTCTGCTGCCGATGGTAGATTACGGCCCCCAGCATGACGGCAACAGTTGCACCCTGCAAAAGAACTCTTGCCACCATGATCGATTTTTGACTTCGAACTTCATTTCCCGTAACGAACGCATGGAGTCCAGCGACCAACGCACCAGCTGTCGCTATGGCACCGATCGGGACCAGCGACTTTCGGATATCCCTCTTTGGACCAAGCAATTCTTCTTCTGGTCCCGATAGATTTCGAGACCTAACGGCACCAGATGCCATCAGCAGCGGCGCTATGGTCTTCCCACCAGCACAACGTACCCTGATAATGAATGTATGCAAGCTATCCGGTCGGGTGCATCCAAAATGAGCGTGCGTTTTTTTGTATTCGGAGCAAGACGGTAAGCTTGATCACCGTCCTTGCACTTTCCGCCACACTTCGCCGTCCTGCTTTCCCGCCTTCTCCTGCCGGTCCTGGCGGGAAAGCAGGACGGCGGCACACACAGCCTTCGTCAACAAGCCCCGCGGAGAGAGAGCCATCACAGCGCGGCCCCGGGCCAAGTCCCCGTACATGGTGTTCTTCATTTATGGCCATGGATCTGTATATTCCCGCCACAATCGGCGGTCAAGAATGAAGAACACACGCCAGTGGGACCTGGCCCCCGGTGGTGTTCTCATCTCGATCGCCAACGCTTCCCCTGGGCCCAGGGAAAACGAGGCCCGCACGTCGGTTGGATGGGACACTGTCAGACGTAGTGCCACGTTTAATACGGTTTTTTTTTTGGCGGGGGGACGTTTTTCATTGGGGGCCGCTTGGTACAGTTGGTATTGGCGCAGGTTTATAAACGGGGTCTTTTCTCGCTGCCGGTTGGTTTGGCGCCGCGCCCTCTCATCTATGGAAGTAGCCTCTCTCTATCTCTCTGCGCGCATGGATGGAAAGCAGTGTGTATTTCCATATTCTAGCAGAAAATTCATTTCGCTTGTGCTCATCCTATCGATGGAAGTAGCCTCTGTCTATCTCTCTGCGTGCATGGCTGGAAATCTCTCTCTCTCTCTCTCTCTCTCTCACACACACACACACACACGCACACACACCAGGATTTCCTCGTCTTTCTTCTCTTTTTCTTTTTTTTTCTTCTGTTTTTCGTTTCTTTTTTTTTCTTTTTCTTTATGATTATGATTATGATTATTATTATTATTTTATTTTTCTCTTTTTCCGAGGGGCGACGGACGGCCTTGAGATATGATCATCAAACCGACCGGCCCGCGCCCTTGGTGATTCAAGATAATTGTAGTATTTTAGTCAGCTTTGACTCCCGTGGGGTTCGAACTGGGTTCTGTATTTCCACAGCTTTGACTCCCTTCTTCCCCCCAATAGACGTATGGTCATTATAGCTGTATTTAGACTAAAAGATACGCCAAATTTCGCTATAATGACCGTACGTTGTATTCCGGGGAAGAAAGGTAGGCCAGTTGGTCCTGGAACGGGATTTCACGTTCGGAGAGCAGTCCCGAGACTCTTGCAGGAGCGTGGTCCCACTAGCAAAGAGGATCGGATCGAATGCCCGAATGTGGACGAGTTTATGGAGATGTGCAGGAAATCGAGATTGTAACTGCTTTTCTGCATCTTTGCTAATGGGACCTAGGCCCAGGACTCGGGAGTGGTGTAGGGTGTAGCAAGGCCGTATGCCAACACCGGCGGGTATACGGACACTGCTTCCTTTTTTTTTTTTTTTTTTTTGGGAATGGACACTGCTTCGCACAAGCGCCGGCTTTGTTCTCGATGGAACAGTTTCAAGTTCCAGCCTCCCGAGTTAGGGAGGCTACAAGTTTATGGACAGTTCAATTCTGCAGTAGCTGCACAGTAGGGGTGACGCACTGTGGTTATGCTGCTGATTGTGGGGGGCTGGTCCCCTGCAGGCCTCTTCCCTGGAAGCGAAACTGGGTAATGCTCCCAGAAGGTCTGATCTCCCGGGTAGACTGTGAGGACCCCGGCCTCAAGTTCTATGATTAATATAAGCCTTGGGCACAGGGGCCTCGACCCACTAGCGAAGAGTTACGCTTCGCGGCTGGGCTTTCGACCACGTGCGGCCTGGGGTGACTCACGGCAGCCGCCGATCGCCGTCCACATCGACTGCGCAGCGAGTTTTGGAGTCGGGAAGGCCGTCGGAGTGGCATCCGGCCAATAGGATGTTTTGGAATTGTTTTGTGCGCTATTTTGTTGGGCACATTTCGTTGGGGCGAAGCTTCAAAATCAGTGTTTTTTTACCCATGGGGTGATTTTGAAGCTTCGTGCCAACGGAAGTTGTCGTCGCAAAAATGAGGAAAACGTCCGAAAACGATTCCTTCCGCCGTCTTCTATGCGCAGTGCCCAGGAAAGACGCCGGCAAGATTTGTGTCAGTGTCGTGTTGTGGGTTCGTAGCACGCAGTCCGCAAGTGCGTCTAAGTTCCGACCACTACACTCGTACGGGGTCTATCAGTCTGTCTATGTTCACCTGCAGACATGATACTTTGTGAACGGAGGCGTTCCCTGATTTTCCTGATTGGGTAAGTGGGTATGTGAAAACGCTAGACAGTTGTCTTTTTCCCCATACGAGCAGTTTGGGTCTCGCTCCGGTACACGCCGCAGTGCATGCATTTGGACGCTTCAGGGAGAAGATGCATTCGGACGATTCGAAGAGCGTGAATGTGTGAGAGAGATGTGAGCGCCCTTTCGTACTGGAGCGAGGCCCACCGTCGTCCACCATCACAAGGGCGCTTCCGCCACCTCTTCCGTTGCTTCTCGGGTTTAGGGTCGTTATGGCCATGACGGTAGTACACACTCGTTGTTGGTATCGAATGCACACCGTTTCAGTCCGTCTCCGCAGTCGTCTGTTAGGTGGACGGTGACAGTCTTGACTCCGTGAAGGCCGTACACGACGCCCCCCGCCTCCATGGCCCATTACAGCCAAAACCACGGCCTTTCTTGCATCGACGACTGGGGATACTCCGAGTCCCAGGCCGGTGTAGATCGTTATGGGGGTGGCGGGGCGTCGTCACAGGTCCCAGGACCAAACATCCCCTCTGAAGCGGTCACCGGTTGTTACCAGCATGCTTCACCGGTTGTTGGTGGAGGGTGGCCGTCACCACGCCCCATCGAGGACAGTGATGGGACACAGGTCCCTCCATCGGCGGGGGGACTGCAAAGACCACATGACAGTGAAGTGTTCTCGGAAGAACCGGTGTTTGCTTATGTCCGGTCCCCAGGAGTGCACGTGCGGCAGGTGACGAGTCACGCCACCGGTCAAGGTCATTCCAATGTTGTCACAGGCGGTCGTGGTGTGTGTTCGCCTGTGACGCCAGTGCGCATGTTCAGAATCGGTGTGGGCGGTGAGGATGAGCATAGTCTGAGGCAGAGTTTGAGGATGCGTGCAATGGCAATGGCGGAGGGCGTCAGCACACACACCGTCCAAGGAGCAGTCGGAGGGTGTGACTCTCCAGGTCCCCATGTGACACTGAGTGGACATGGTAGTCCGAGTCCGTCCTCCGATGGTTCGCGAGGGAGTGCCACGGTGCAGGCTGGTGAACAATGTGCACCCGTTGCCATGTCACCGATCGGGCAGGATAGTCGTGGCGATTCACAAGAGGCGACCCCAGACGGTGGCATGACGCAGCAAGGTTCCGAAGAACCACCATGGTCTTCCCAGTACGTCCTCAACCGGATAATCCGACAGAACAAGCGGGGTATTCCCCCCGCGGATGATGTCAATTACGTCGCAGACGGAGATGCTGCAGGTGCTCCGCATCCCGCCCCGCAGCGCACGCCTCCCCGCCCGACACCTTCTGCTGCTGCAGCCACGGCCACACCGTCCCCCATGAGCACGGGGTCCGGGTCCCGTCAACTGCCATCCGCGGTTGAACCGGGGGCTGGAACATTCACAGGTGTCCCGCCCCGGTCTGTTTTGCCCCCGCCGAACAATGATCGGTGGGCAGAGACGGAAACCGAGTGGCTGTGTCGGTTCCAGAACGAGGTGAAGGACATGATGGGCGATGACACCGAACCGTACGGGCGTGCGAGGCTGAAAGTTGGATTCTGGAAGATCGTCGAACAGCGCATGCGAGAGAAGGGGTACAATCGCAAAGACGACCAGTGCAAGAACAAGTTCAACTTGAATCAGATCCTTGACCACTACAGGAAATTGAAGGCGCACAAAGGATGGTCTGGTCTTCCAAGCTACTGGGACATGAACCAGACAATGCGCAGGCGGTATAACGTTGACTTCGTGCTCTGATGAAGTTGGTACGACATCATCCACCCTGCGGAGAAGGACAAGGACTCCATCAACCTCACTAATTTGCTGGATTTAGGTGCGGACGATGAGCGCATGGAAGACGAAGAACGGGCACACACAGCAGACGGGGGGGCGCGCGGCGGGGGTGACGAGGCGTTCCAGGGAGTTGGAGGCATGAGCGGGGGGTCAGAAGGCACCGGTTTTGAGGCCACACTAGGGAAACGCAAAAGAGGTGCTGTCAATGCACGTGAAGCTGGTGTGCAGCAGATCACAGGTGCAATGCGTGCTCACACGGCGGCACTGACGCATACAGACAGGGAATGCGCGAAGATGCGCTGCGATGCCACACGTGACATCGCCCAGAAACAGCTGGAGGCTCATCGGGAGCTGATGCTGGCAGACATCGCTTCGCGAGAAAGGATTGCAAACGCGGCGGGGGAGAAGGTGGAGAGGGGTTATTCTGTTCTTGCTGATGCCATTCGTAGCTTGCGTGGAAACAGAGGGAGCAGACGGGTATCATCGGATAGCAGTGATTCCCGATAGTGTGTTTTCCATAACTGCGACATTCGTAGCTTGCATGGAAACAGAGGGAGCAGACGGGTATCATCGGATAGCAGTGATTCCCGATAGTGTGTTTTCCACAACTGCGAATGCAGAGTGTGGGGGAGAGAGAAAGATCGCTATAGCGGGTGGGTTTGGGTTGTGGTCGGGTAGTACGGGATGATACCGGATTTGTTATGATTTCGCCACTGTAGTGGATGGCAAAGTAATTTATGGACAAACAATAACTTTGCAAGCAGTGTTCTTTGCCTCTCTCTCTCTCTCTCTCTCTCTCTCTCTCTCTCTCTCTCTCTCTCTCTCTCTCTCTCTCTCTCTCTCTCTCTCTCTCTCT